TTTCCGATGTCGAAACTTTCAAACAAGTTATGTACTTAATCTTTGTACAGGTATTAAAATTTTTATAATGCCCTAAACTTCCATAGGGATTTGCAAGCAAACTGCAGGTGCAGGTTTCCTTTACAAGTTGAAACTGAAATAAATTCCTTTCAAAATAAACTGATACTTTTAGAATTCTGTAAATTTTACATAAAACTTATCTAAAAGCTTTATATGCGGAACCAATCACATATCAGAAAAGTGAGATATGAAAAATTGCATTATAATTTATCAATAATACAAACAATGTGTAAGTAATCTTAAAGTGAAAAAAATAATCTTTGAGCATTTTAACCAAAATTATTAAAAAGTTATATTAGTTAGTAATACTTTTAATGAGTTCAATAAAGGACCCATGAATAATATTTTAGATATGTATAAGCATAACATGTAATATAACATATAGAAATTGAATGTTTCTAATATTTCTCAAATTTAATATTACAAAAGGCAAGAAAAATGTAATATCACTTACATTACACTAGCATTTAAATAAATCGGTTCAAGTATTGAATTATTGATAAAATGAAACTGTATAAAAGTATTCATATGTTCAAACGTTTAATTTGGAATATGTAACAATAATTATTACAATGATCATTTGTTGTTAAATTCTTAGTCATTCATAAGTTTCAATCAACTGCATAGTTTCTCATGAGATCCATTTATATCTCCAACTGAATTTAACTATTGTTTTTATTAATTAGACTATTTTGTAAATAATTTGACTGATAATTCAAAATATGTTGCCAGACAAATTATGTACTGTACTTGTACTGTAATGATAGTGAAACTATTTAAAGTCTTACACTTGAAGGAAATGATTTCTTTAAATAGACATTGGAAGTTTATTAAAAAATATTAAAGTTTACATAAAGTGAATTTTTTATTTTAATTTTATTAATTAGCAAGTACATACTTTCAATGAGCTACAGAATTTATTACAAGAAAAAAAAACTGAATAACTAATAAAATCCTGATAGTATTAATGTAATTTTGTTCATTTACTTTAATTAACTGCTCTTAATATGTAAAATTAGTAAATACAGGTGCATATATCACTTCATTTATCGACTTAGAAATTATTTCATGTACTATTTGAATAATTTTGAAAATCCGAAAAATTAATGAAAATTAATTTACCAAGTAACAATCATATTTATTAGCACATTTGATAAATTAAAAAAAAAACTGATTAATACTAACTATTAACCATTAATCTTAACCACTACTTCCAAAATATTCAAAATATTTAATTAACAAATACGAATATAGTATTTATTTTTCTATCAGGAACCTTTTACAAAATTTGGTAAAATTTTAAAAAAATATTTAGTGGAAGTTATTAATTTTTTTAAAAAATATTCGTAATATTTAATATTAATTAACATTATAAAAAATGCACAAAAGTTATGTAAATCATTATGTAGAATAAATCTTTTAAAATTGAATTATTTATCGAATCACAAATGTTTAATTAGGATTTATCACAATTAATTTACTAAATTATTACTATTTTTACGTCGAATCCACATCACATTACAAAACCGTTTACGTACACATTTTTACAACTTTATATTTTTCCAAGGTAAGTAATTATTTTGTAGTTCATTGTCGCTATGCTAATTATTGGCGTAACAAGGTGGAAGTAATTTTCAAGCAATTGTAATTATAAATTAAATTAGATATGGGAACAGAAAAATATCGAAAATAATCAACTTTAATAAAAACTATATTGAAATTTTCTAAGAAGTAAAAAAACCTGAACGACCGTTAACTGATGAATCATCTTACAGAGTTTCGCCAAAATTCTCCAAAATTTTGCTTTACCAATAAATTACGAAGAAACGGCCAGGCCGATCTTTGTCGAAAACTAATCAGTACCATTTCCAACAGATATCTTACAAAATGTTTTCCAATTTTTAAAATCCAGTACAAACTTCTATTTTCCTTTTTTCTACTCTTTTTAGCAATCTTGATCTCGTCATTGTGAAGAGCTACATCAATAGATGCAGTCCTTAGTTTTTATTCTACTCTATATCATGTACAATTAATTTTATATCTCATGAAGATAGATGATCAAATAAATATAATTGAAAAAAATAAATAAAATAAAATCAGTTGGAGTCTTTTGCACAAACGTTGTCAAATAATTATGCCCTTATATATGGTCATTATAAAAAACTGGTGTACCGATCAGTACGAGTTCAAATCAAGTTTCATCAAATGGTTCTTAAACTTTTAAAATCAAACTTATACAATAAAATTAGCAAATCTGATTTTTGGACAAAACAAGTTCCTTCAGGAAATTAATAATATATGTGGCAAATATATCATATAGGGGAGTTAGGGGCTTATAGTAACATGAGTAAGAAGTTGCAGGCGTTTTGCAATAGAATTTTAAACGAAATTCAAATATTTTTTAGTTTTGATTGTACATGTACAAGTAGACCGTCATGCAAAATATGGCCATAGCTACTGTTTTGCAATTAACAGAACTGTGCAGGTCCGTCATTTTTGACATGTAATATAAAATGGTACTATCATGAAAACTACAGTTTGCATTATTATTATCGACTGGTTTTAAATTTTATATATCTTAATTTATTTCAAATTTATCGATCTTTGATATCGTATATTTATCAAATTCATATAGCTAAAATATGTTGAGTTCACATCATTACACACTTCAAAATTCAAGTTCTACAAAATTGATTAGGCCCACTGTTTGAATGCAAAAAATACAATAAATCAACCGCTAATATTAGGCCTATAATATTTTAGTATGTAGTTTCAGGCTACAAAATCTATCATTATACAAAGTTTCATGAAAATCATCAAAAATTGAAAATCATTTTTTCAACAATTAGGAAGAAACGACTCGCCTGATCTTTACCAAAAACTAATAAACACGATTCCCAAACAATATCATTCGAATTTTTTAAAATCAGTTCAAAATTGTGTGTTAAAACGTGGACAGAAATTATTACACTTTTCTGCTGATTACAAAGAAAGGGCTTGACCGATCGTCGTGCATTGAATGAGTTTTAAATTTTTCAAATTGATCCAGAAGTTTTTGAGCAAAAGTCGACGGAAGGTCTAAAACCTTTAGTCTCATTCGATTCAGAATGACTTGAGACATCGAGAAAACAAACTTAGCAAATCAGATTTTTTCGCAAAAACTTCTCCTTCGGGAAAATAAATATGAAATAACAACTAAATATTTTGACCAAATTTTAAATAAGATTTTCCAAGTTAGAACCACTGGCGTATATGATTCAGAAGTCTTTTTGATTGGTTTAGGAGAAAATCGGTCATGATAAGCAAAAAATGAATATAACCTAAAAACAAATTAGGAATATAATGTAGGATAATTCCTAAGAAACGGCTCGGCTGATCATCGCACAAATTGGATAAACGTTAGTCCTTATCCAGTTACATCGAATGGCTTTTTGAAATTTTTGAAACATCTGTCCAGTAATTTTCGAGAAAACGTCGACGAAAGGATAAAAATCGGCTCACACATTTTATTTGGGGAATTTAGTCTCTAACGATTCAGAATGGCTTGAAACGTCGAGAAAACATAAAATTAGCAAATCGGATTCTGCGCGAAAACAAACTTCGTAAATTTGAATATAAAATAACTCCCAAATATATTGACAAAATTTAAATACTATTTTACAATTCGGAACCACTGGCGTACATGATTCAGAATTCTTTTTGATTGATTTAAGAGAAAATTGGTCGTGACAAAATATGGAAATAACCTAAAAACAAATTAGGAATATGATGTAGGATAATCCCTAAGAAACGGCTCGGCTGATCATCGCACAAATCTAATAAACGCTATTAAGTTACATGGAATGGCTCTCAAATTTTTGAAATTGGTTCAGCCGTTGTCAGAAAAGCTCGACGTCGTTAAAAACCAGCTCACATACACACACACACTTTTTTTAGCAAATTTGGTCTCTAAAGATTCAGAATGACTTGCAACGTCGAGAAAACATAAAATCAATAAATTGGACTTTGCGCGGAAACAAACTTCGTGAATTTAAATATAAAATAACTCCCAAATATATTTACAAATTTTTAAATACGATTTTACAATTCGGAACCACTGGCGTACATGATTCAGAATTCTTTTTGATTGGTTTAGAAGAAAATTGGTCGTGTTAGGTTAGACAAAAAATTAATATAACCTAAAAACAAATGAGGAATATAATGAAAGATAATTGGTAAGAAACGGCTCGGCCGATCATCGTACAAATCTGATAAATTCTAGTCCTTATACAGTTACATAGAATAGCTTTTTGAAATTGTTGAAAAATCTGTCCAGTCGTTTTTGAGAAAACGTCGACGAAAGGTCACAAAATCGACTCACATAATAACACATACACACGGGACACACACACACATACACATTTCCAAATTTGGTCTCATTCGATTCAGAATGACTTGTAACATCGAGAAAACAAAGTTAGTAAATCGGATTTTTTCGCGAAAACAAACTTTTCTTTCGGGAAGTTTGGGAACATTACTATCCAATATTTTGACAAAATGTTGAATACGATTTTACAATTATGAAACATAAATGTTTCTTAACCTGGCGTATATGTTTTAATACATATTCTATCTATTCTAGAAATTAGTAATTACTTTAGGAAAAATCGGTCGTCAATAATAAATATAACCTAAAAACAAATGAGGAATATATAAAAAATAATTCCTAACAAATTTGGCTCGTTTATATATTTACAAAGAATTTTATGTTGACATCATCTTTCGGAAAAATTACGTATCAAATAAACAGTACGTTGTTCTAACCTGAAATATTTTTAGAAATGTTTTGACAGCGGCGCGTATCAAACAAACAAAACTACGTCTGATAATTTTGATTACAATCAATACGATAAATATAAATGAAAACTTATCAATATATAAAAGTGTTAGAAATCACTTACTTTGGTCGTTATATTAATTTTATTCAAAATCAAATCCCTTTTCTGCCGCTCGAAAACAACATCTGACGTTTCTTCCGCGAATGCCGCATTTCGGTCTTCGGCAAATACACTTCTTTTCCTTAAATTATGTCCATATCCACTATCACTAAAATCACTAGAATATCCGTGTAATGTTTTATAAGTTTCACTAATTGCCACTTGTACGATTATATTAAAAATTAACAGAAATAGCACACAGCGTCCTACTCGGGCGGCCATGTTTTCAACAATGACTTGTCGTGGATCGTACCGACACAAACGACTGCTCGCTGCGTGGACGAGAGAATGGCTCATGCGAACGGGGGGAACGGCGAGATGGTGTTCTTAAGTGGAAGAGACATTGCTGGAAAAAAGAAAATGATGATTAGAATGAAGATAGTAGATAAATATTTTTATTTTTGTTTTTAACTTCCCTTAGAGTAAGTTATAGTAATCGCAAAAAATCGAGAATTAATATTTTTATACATCTTTACATTTCAGAGGTTTCTGACCATTTTGGCATACCTTAGAAAAAATGGATGTATGTGTTTGTGTATGTGTGTGTGTGTGGGAACATGGATCAACCGATTTAAATAATTCAAAAAACATTCGATTCGTATTGATAAGGAGACATGCTGATTAGTTTTTGTCGAAGTCAGGTATAGCAGAAACTACGGGGCAAAAAGTACCAAAACGGTAACTCAGTTTTTAAGTGAACGGAGCGTCCGATTTTAATAATTCAAAAAACATTCTACTTGCATTTACAAGATGAACAATTGATTAAATTTTAAAAAAGCAGGTCCAGCGGTTATGGACACTCAATAAAAATAAGTTTAAAAAATGTCATTTAGTGGTTAAAAATGTTTATTGGACAAATGTACATCAAATTATTAGTTTTTTTATAGAGATTTTAATAATGTCTACACATTCTGTGTATTTTTTTTTGCAAAGTTCTCGCAATTTGCCTTAAGGCACGACGCCATGCACCTCACTAGTTTATATTTTTATTGATGCCAGAATTAATTATTTATCAAATGCATTAATTGAACGGCAAGATGGTGTTCTTAAGTGGAAGAGACATTGCTGGAAAAAAATGGTAATTAGAATGAAGATAGAAGATAAATAATTTTGTTCTTGTTTTTCTTTTAACTTGTTTATTGATTATTGATCAGGATTAATTATTTATTTATTGCATTAATTGAGCCTATGATATGACAATAAATGAATGAATTTCGATATGTACCACACAAATTACATTGATTAACATATTATTAGTATAACATATATTGGCTAACATATTTTAGCACAATAAAACTAAATATCTGTAATTAATTTTGTATAAATAAATAAATAGTATTATTATATATAATAGTATTATTTATTAAAATAATTCAAGTCATTGTGCAAAGCTATAAATGATCCATATATTCCTTTTGTCCAAGAAATATTGTCAATAGTTTTTTAACTTCCCGTAGGTTAAGTTATAGTAATCGTCTAAAAATCGAAAATGAAATTGTTTGCATGTCTTTACGTTTTAGAGGTTGATTAGTTTTTGCACAAGCAGGTCCAGCCGTTTCGGAGATACGAAGCAAAACGTGCAAAAATAGCCGTTTTTAAGCAAACGAAGCATCCGATCAGAACAATTCCAAATACATTCGATTCGCATTGAAGGGGAGGCGGCAGGTCCAGCCGTTTGAGAGATACGGAGCAAAAAAAACAGTTTTGGAAAGAAAGGATTCAAAGAGCATGATTAGTTTTCTGAGAAAGCATGCCCAGTAGTATCAAAACTATCAAAAATTTCAAATTTTTTTTGAGTGCTATGATATGAAAAACCAGCAATAAATTAATAAACATAAATATCTATATCACAAATTCTTTTCACACACTGTTTGGCGTTATTAAGGCTAATATTTGTTAAACTATGAGTCTAAAGCCTTTTGAACTTTTGTTTAAATCATTTTTTTTTGTTTGAATCATTTTTGAACATTTTGAACACTTTGAATCGATATAAAAAAATATAATTAAAAAAATGCTTCAATCATTTTGGTAAATTAATGCCCAAACTGATATCATGCAGTATTGATAACAGTTTTCACTTGCAATATAGATCTAAATATGTCTCCAAGTGAAAATTGTCCTTCGCCGAAATTGCTGCATCATGTGACAAATAAGATATCAGTATTAGATGATTTCTAATACATAAAATATATTAAAAGATAGGTCAACCAATGGGTTTTGCTTCTAATATCATCACAATAGCTAATAGATTATTTTTGTTTAAAAATAACAATAAAAGTATATAGGAATCTTGTCAGATATTAGAAGAATATCATAAAATATATTATATCATAAAGATGTACTTTAATCCACTCAGTACAATAATCTTCATTAGCACATAGCTACATTCATTTTGTAATTTTTCTACATTGGATTTGCTGCTTTGCTGCCACCATGGTACATCACCAAAAAATAACAAAATCAGAAAAGTATAATGAGACAATATATTTTATTATCGGTGCATTGATGTTAACAATCGCTGTATATTTACTTTATTTGATGATATTTTATCTATGATCATGTCACATGTGTTTTGTGTCTCATATGCTTTCACAATGGAACAATATGCATGCATCACAATCAGTACACATTATCACATAAAATCGCATAGGGGCAATCTCATTTTTGAACTAAATCTAATTATACCCTCATGTAACGTAAATCAAACAAATATAGTAAAATGATAACGGAAATTGTCTTTTTAACATAAAAATAATTTTATACAGGGTGTCCCAGAACTTAACGTCAAGCCGAAACAGGGTGATAGTATTGACCCTAACTGTACTGAAACAAATTAGAAAACTAGTAGAATGCATGACATGGTGCCTTAAGGCAAATTGCTGGAACTTTCCGTACTGTAATCAAAAGTCTTGGTTCGGAAACCAAATTTACACAGAATGTGTACACATTATTAAAATCTTTATAAAATATCTGATAATTTGATGTAACATATGTCCAATAAACATTTTTGACCGCCAAATGGCATTTTTTTAACTTATTTTCAATGAGAGTCCATAACCACTAGACCTGCCTTCCCAAAAATTCGATCAGTTCTTCATTTTGTCAATACAAGTAAAATGTTTTTTGAATTTCTAAAATCGGACGCTCCGTTCTCTTAAAAACTGAGTCACCGTTTTTAGCACTATTTGCCCCGTATCTTCGAAACAGCTACCCCTGCCTCTGCCAAAAACTAATCAGCACGTCTCCTAATCAATACAAATTAAATGCTTTTTGAACAATTAAAATCGGTTCAACCGTGTTCCCGAAATCGTCGACGAAAATTTGTATCCGCGCACACACACACACACATGCACACATGCACACACACATACATCTATTTTTTCTAAGGTATGCCAAAATATTCAGAAACCTTTGAAACGTAAAGATATATAAAATTTTTCATTTTCTATTTTTTTGCGATTTATATAACTTACCCTACGGAAAGTTAAAAAATTTCTCAGGTTGTTTGGAAATTATGAGCTTTTAAGTGCAACCTAGAGCTTTGGCGAAATTATGATCATTTTTTGGTTATTGTGGTTGAATTTTATTAATTTTGTAACTGTGAATAACATTTGTAGGACCACAGTGATAAATAATAACACATTTGACCCAAGTTTTCAAGAATTAGGACTTTATGTTGAACTATCAATCTAATTTTTTTTAAAAACGTTCGACCCTAAGACCCATTTTTTAAAAAAATGGACTAAAGTGTGTTCTCAAATTTCATCAAAAGTTGGCGTATTTAATCAGTAAAATACTAGATAATTTTATAATTGAAAAATTTCGAGTAAAAATATAAAAACTTAAAAACAACACGATAAACCAGTGGTTTCCATCCTTTCCAATCACAACCAGTTATCTCTTAAACCAGAATAAATGTTGTGAAGCAAATTTAGAAATGGTTTTCTATTTTTTTAAAAAAATATTAAATAATTTATATTGATAATTGATAAACTGGTATTACATAAATATAATATAAGTATATATCCTTTTTCCCATGTGAAGATATTATATTCGAATATTTCCATAACCTTTTCCAATCTCCTATTAATTATTTTAACAAAATAATTGTTCTCTCAAATGTCATTAAAATGTCATTTGCATCCAATATTTTAACAAAGTCATAAACTAAAATTTCAAAAAAATCTTCATGTAATTTCATTTACAAAAAATGATCTAGACAAAAAAAAATCGTCAAAAATGTAACTGAGAAATGCTCAAGAAAGTATTATGGATAAACATACATATATTCGCCAAAGGTTAGTCAAAAAAATATTATATGTAAATCTTACTTGTTTCGTAGCATAGACCAGGTTGAATTTCTACTTTAATGTTTATTATTATTTTAAAATTTCTTAAAAAAAAACATTATAACTTAAATTTCATTTAAAGAAAAACATTTCGACAATAACATGCGCGCTTTGCACATGTTTTCAACCTTTCAAATGTCATGGGGTACAAATTTACTTAATTTATTTATTAATTTATTTTAAACAATTTTGTGATAAATGATAAAAATAGCAGTATTTTCTAAAATACTATATTTTCGAAGGAGAAATTTGTTTTCGCCAAAGAAGCTTATTTGGTAATTTTATGTTTTCACAATGTTCAAGTCGAAACCAAAATTGGAAAAAACTATGTGTGACCTTTTCGTCGATATTTTTTCAAAAATGGCGGCACCTATTTTGAAAATTTGAATCCATTCAATAAAATTCCATAAAAATTTGTGTTGTTTTTTATAATTAGAAGAGAAGTGCAAAAATTTGCATCAACGTTTTCGCAAAAAATCCTGAACTGATTTTGAAAATTTAAAATCCGTTCGAAAGATATCAATTGAGAATTGTACTGATTTGAGCCTGGTACTTTGTGGTTATAATAATAATTAACATGATTTTTTTCCGAAATTTCAAAAGATTTTTAGCAAAAAAAATCGTTTGACAATAAAAGTTGACGCATGCAGATCATTTTTTTTTTTTGAAAATTCTTGTAAATCCAGCATAACGTTCTAAAAAAAAGCATCAACTACTACTTATCTCTCAAAGAAAAATTATTCGCCTAAAATAAATATAATGACATATGTCAAAAATTTTAATCCAAAATCGTTTACGTTTTATTTTAAAAAACTAAATTACTTTTGATGAAATTATTCTAAATTACAGTTAAATTCCAATTTTCAAAATTAAT